ACACTGCCATACAAAGGCAAAAGGCAGTAACTTCCATTTTTTCAAAAATTTGTTTTTGTCATTTTTTGGAACATTACAGATGTGCTTTATCATGTGGTCAAATATCTTGAGTCAATTGTGTAGTTTTTTTTAGAAAATAGTAGGTTGTATTTGCCTTAACTTCCAAAAGCCCTCGAGAAACCAAGGCAGAGTCCAGTAACTTCACTCATCAGGGTCTTTGCCTTTGTACTGCAGCATTCAGGAATGCTCAAACTGAGTTCAGGTCTTCTGCCTTTGTTTTGCTGCGGATCAAAGGGAAGTTACTGTTTCACTGAAGTGGAGTTAAAGTGTTATGCCTTTGTTTTAATATCTGTCATCAAGCACTTCTGACACACACAGTAGCTTGACTAAAGTGTAGCAAAGAAATAGTCTTGGCTGTGTTATTTTAACCATGCAACCAAGTGAAATACAGTAACAAATGGAAGTTAATGCCTTTTGCCTTGGCATGACCCCGTATTATTGTACAGGCAATGCAAAGGCAGAGTGCCTTAACTTCCAAATAAGGGTCAAAGGTCATGTTCATTTTTCATTTTTATGAACATTAATTCATTTTTCATTTTTCATTTTTATGAACATTAATAACCTCATTAAAAGACAAAGATTTGCCACATTTCCAATATTCTGCCTGCAACTCATTTGGCTGGACAACAAAAAGACTTTAAAGTGATTTTTCTCAGTTCTACAATTCTGCCGAGTTAAGGTCTTTTGCCTTTGTAGGACAGTACAACGTGATATTTGATTAGGATAAATCCGTTCTTTTGTTCCCTCGAGGGACAGCGGAGCCCCTATAGCATTAATCCACATTCTCCTCCTCTCTGGGTTTTTTTTTTCTCAGATTAGAGTCTGCAGGAGCATTCAATGGAAAAAAAAACCGACTCATTTAAAACCTTTAAAAATAAAACTGGTTGAAACACATAGGTGGCAGCTGAGACTGATAACTTCTATGTAGCAGTTAGAGAAGCCTTTCTTGCCCCTCTGTGGGTGCTTCCACAAGTGTGTGGCATCACATGAAAGCTAGGAATAGGGTTTTAATGACCTTTGGAATGGCACGGCTGTTTAACATCTAAGTCCCCATACAAGAAGCTTCTCCATGCACATCTGTTCTTCAGGGTTTATCACTGTTATCTGTCACAGTCATGTGGATGTATGTCAGCCAGAATGAGCTTTTTATCACATTCACTCTGGAATGGGCACATCCTGGTAACTGTGCCTTCACAACTTTCTGTGCAGTGCAGCAAGCATCATTAACGCCTTGTGACACATCGCTTCCATGCAAGGCTGATAATGTGTTGCACTGCACACAGCTGTACATCAAATAGTTCTGTTGCTGTAGTCTTAGCAGCCACTTGCTTATAATGATTATCAGGAGATTGCAGTGACAGATGTGCTTCGTCACATGGATTCACAATTTGATTTAGTCAAGATGAAACAAGAAGGAGCTGTCATATGAAGAGGTGAATCATCACAGCATGTAATTTTAATTTGTTGATGCAGAGGGTACAGTAATCAATCAGAGGAAATGAAAAAGAGCTTGTGGTGACCGTTTCTGCAAACATTAATGCTTCAGTGTGTGTGCATTGACAGGAGTGGTGGGGGCCAATATCATTTAGACTTCCACAACAAACCTCCCACCTGTCCGTGAGGAAATAAACAGACTTCCACACACTGTTCAGAGTGACATGGTATCTCCATAATTCAAATGTGTGTCAGCCAGGTCAGACTAAATGGTGTAAATCAGAGATTTGAATCTGCTGGCAGGTTCAACACATCCAATTAACGCCTTACTTTTCCTTCATGACAGGTACCTATTTTAGACAAATTGCAATGATGACATGACAATGTTCTACTGTTTGATCCATTCAAGAGAAATACACATCGGTATAAAATAGCCTGAAGTAAGTTTGGTGAGCAGAAAGTACAGACAAACCCTAATATCATGGTCTAAACAAGCTCAGCCTTTTTCAAATTTCCATGAAATTACTTCCTGAATTCATCTTTTACATGTTAACATGACATTATTTCCTATATCATATTACATGCAAATTAAAAACATGTGCAGAAATAATCATTTTTAAAACAAGTATGAACACCAGAATAAATGCATTTCAGTCTTGCATGATTATTACGCACGTTGAAGATACATTATAATAAGTCTTTTCCAGTTGTGGGAGAATCGTTATTCAGATTTCTGCTGGAACAAGTCCCTGATATGGAAGGTGTTGCAGCACATTTAGTCTCCTCAGATTTAACTGGTTGGGACAATCCTGTCAAAGTGTTTTTGAAATACCACACTGATACTTGCATGTGTGGGGAACAGGGTGAAATAATCGCAATGTCCTTTTGTCTGTGAAGCGATGAATTCTATAACAGACCAAAATATCAAGATATGTAAATTGCTGCGGGGAGAATTGAAGAAATTGGATTGCAGTTGTCACACAGTATGTGTTAGCCTTTTTGCTGTAGAGTATAAAGCTAAAGAGGAGCACTAGTGTCTAAACACACTTCCAAGGATTACTTGCTATTATTCAAATAGATCCAACAAGATTTCTGTGCACATAAAACTTGACTGCAAAAAAATAAAAGTGTTTTCTTTGGAGAACGGCAGAAGCAGTAAACGGCCTGACATTAAGTGTTTCCTTTTGATATAGACAAACTAAACGACAGCTTTATGCAACTAAACTCCTCCGTGTCATGGGTAAGAGACGGACCTGCCAAGTGGTGTGACACAGACCAGCAGAGCAGCACTCCTCCTGAGCCGAACAACAGCAGACAAGGATTTGCTATGTAACAATTGCCTTATTTAGTGGTGCAGATCCTTGCCTCCGTGCGGGCTGAAATAGCACTTCTTCTTCTTTAGAAACACTGCTGGATTCAATGCCAGGGGAAAAGTATTCTACTCAGTTTTTTTTTAAAAAAGCCCCCTGTCACTGTATTCTTAGCAACATGTCACCTCTGATCAGGATAAGCGTGCTTTATATGGGATTTGATGTTTATTCAGTTTAGATTTTAAATCTTTTTTTTCTTCTTGAGATGTGAATTCATGCTTTGTCACAGAGCAGCAGATAGTGCTATAAACCAATGAGCAGCAGACATGCTGCTGCATATCTACATCCCTACAAGACCGTATGCTGTGAAGTAAAATACAGCCGTGATGAATAATTGAACATTCTGAGCTTCAGAAATTAATATTACAGCTCCATGTGCTGAAATTGGCTTTTCAAGTAGATTCTCATAGCATGAGTTCCCTATATTTCCCTCTTTTTCAATTACTTTTCATTTGCGAAACAAATTGAATGAATTTGATGTATTGAAGGAACTCCACTGATATTTCTTTAGACATTTTTTTTGCTAATTTACACATCCAAGTTATCCCCAAAAAGTAAATACATCCATTTATTGTATTCCCTCTCCCTCTTCAGTGTGTGACTTCTACAAAAGCTCCAACCTCTCACATTTCACAGGATGCATATCTTCCCACAGGAAATTCACCAGCTAAGGTAGTAGTTGGCTTGTTGGAGGGATGGGGGGAAATTATACACAAATAAATACAGCTTGCAGCTACAGACTACAGTAGGCTCTTATGTTACTGAAAAGACATTCTGATTCTTTTGACTTGTATAAACACCAGCATCCCTGTATGAAGCAGACACGTTGAGGTGCGATATCAGAGAAGAGCTATTTCCATGCTCATGTGTGGCTCGAACCGTGTGAGTTGGATCTGAATGGAGTATCTGAAGCTGTGTTTGGATCTCACAAAAGATGCAGGAGGATTTGAATCAGTTTGTTGTTGTTTTCTACAACGGTATAGGTGGAGGGCGGGTGTTTGTTAGGCGTTCGCCTTAACTATAGAGGAGGGGTTATCAACTACAGAACGTACAAGGGCCATCTCTTGTCGACAGACAATGTGGGGGGCTGGACTTTAAAATCTGCTCGCACATAAGCCTGATTGCTGTCAAGCCCAATGGGAAGACGTTGATGTCAGAGGGGAAGTGAAATGTCTCCTATTAACCTTATACAAGTATTTCAGCCTTTGAATTTTATTTTTATGTTTATTGTGTAATCACCCGAGAGTATTTATGTTCTGGGGGCCGGATGGGAAGCTTCTGGGGGCCAGATATGGCCTGCGGGCCACCAGTTGATGATCATTGCTATAAAGCATTGCGGAAAACACTGACGTTCCTTTAGGCAAGCTGCAATCTTCTGATAATACAGGAGAATGAAAAGTGGAAAATATCACAGAAAATAGACTTGTTCCCTGCGTCATCAGGTTGGTCGGTGAAATTTTTCTGAAGACTAATCATGACTCAGGAGTAAATGAGATCACTGCTACATGGTCCCTGATAACTAGAAATAAGTAGAGCACAATTATGAAGAAAAATAGAAAATGAAATAGCCAAGGTTTTGGTCGGATGACTGTTGCCTGGTCATTTAATACCTCGAGGACTTGGAGCCTCATAACTCAGTGACTTCTTGTACTTTCATTAAAGTCAAACTGCTTCCTGCCATTTTTATATCTCTCCGTCTGATCAGGCTCAATGACCCTTAGCCCAATGACACAGAACGAGATGTACCCACTTTAGTAATTTAACACGAATATGATTTTGAAGTTGTGTTTGTGACCTGATCTGACATAGTTGGAGAAAAAGGGTTGGTTTCCTGGCTTCATCACTCATCTGGTGCTGTGAACTGAGCGCTGGATAAGAATGGATAAGAAAGATATAGTTGCTCAGAGGAGCTGTTAAACCTCAGGTGAATCCCTTGACACATTATTTATGATGACAACAAAACCAACAAATGAGAACACTGGGGAACTTGCTATTTGTGTTGCCCTCCAAGTTAAAACATTTTTTACACAGTGACATGTTGACTAGAAACATGTTTTTTTGTTTTTTTTTTTCACCTTTGTAAATCTTTAAGCTTGTCATGCTACAGCCTTTTAACTCCAGTGTTCATGCTTGGTGTTACAGTCAGAATGATTTATTAACAAATTTCATACATCAACGCAGAGACAACAACATACATCACCATTTTAATAAAGCTCTACTTTAATACAATAATCCACAACATTTGTGTAAATCTCAATTTTTGGTGCTTAATTTAGTGATAAAAGGTATCTGAGCTGCATTTCATGGTCAGAAAGCAGCTTTTCTAGCAAAGTAAGTAAATAAGCAGTTCAGCTGAAGGTACAATACCAATTGACCCTTTGTCGGCTCCCTGATTGGTCAGCTGACGACTAATCAGAGAGCTCCCTCTTATAGCAACCGTTTCTGGGCTACTTCCGGTTAGACAAACTTTCACATTGGCCAAATCTTTTCAGTGTGTCACCATGACATTATGACCTCAATGTTGTTACTGAACATGGTTAAAAGGTGCTTGTGGTGTCTGCAAGAGTGACTTAAAACATCCACATCGTTATCTGGGAGTATTTTTCATCCCCTTCCCTAAACTGAAGGGATATTGTTTATGTCATTGGTTATATGACTAATATTTAAAACATATAGTAGGTCCAGCTACAATCTTACCTACCCAGCAGTACATGAGCAGTTCTGCCCGTGTGACAGTTGCATTGGCAGTCACTTCCACAGGCAGTAAATGAGGCTTCAGTCTTTTTCACATGGATCTGTAGCATTTAGCACTATTTGATGTTGCTGTGATTGTCAAATAGTGCAAAGAACGTTCAACTGCGTATTGAAGACCACATTGCCGACATAAATAGACTATTTCAGACCCATGGCTCCAGAACTGGTCATTGATGGAGTCCAAGGATAAGTCAGTAGTGTCTGCTAGCGAGGGGCTAGCTGCCATGGGAGGACAGCTAACTTTTGCCGACATCACTAGCATCAAATAAAATATCTTTTATATTACTATTTTAGAGATTTCAGCTATTCTAATACACCCTTTTGTATCTCTGTCCTTATACTTTCACTGAGGCAGAGTTCCTAAAATAACCAAATCAATTAAATACACATAAAGGTATTTTCAATCGTTTAAAATGGGAGTATGGTGAATAGAGATTTTGTGTAACCTAGTAACAGTAACCAAGGAGGGTGGTGTTTAACAAGGTCAATTAGAATGATGAAATCTCAGTCTGTCCTTGGGTTTTCACAATAACAGAATTTTAAACTTTGATACTATACTGTTAAAATCCATGGCTCCAGAACTGGTCATTGATGGAGTCCAGTGGTCAGTCAGTAGTGTCTGCTAGCGACAGAGCTAGCAGCCATGGGTGGACAGCTAATGTTAGCAGACATAACTAGCAACAGAAATCAATCATATTTTAAATGTTTTTTATTGTTGAGTTATCCTCATACACTATTGTATCTTTCTGTTTTCTTTCTGATGAATTTTCAGTCTGTCCTTGGGTTTTCAGAATAACAGAATTATAAACTTTGATACTATACCGTTAACGTCTATCGGTACTGAAACATTACCAATCTATACGTGAAATTTAGACAGTGTGACCTCCTCTGCTCCCTATCTGTTTGCAAGATACATAAACGTTACGTTGGTATCCTGATGAGATGCCAGAAAGACTTGAGAAATGTCTTTGCCAAACTGTGAATTTGACCAACTGCTGTTTTCTCTCTTTAGCTTCAAGCAACTTTGTGTTAAAAATGTGACTGAAGATCTGAAGTTCCTTGTTTTACTTCTGTACTTTCAATACTACTGATCATTAGGTTAACAGTAAAACACATGGTATCAAAAAGTACAGATTGATCAGAAATTTGACAACATTAGGGGCACCGGTAGCCTGGTGGTTAGTGCGGGTGCCACACGTGTGGAGGCTGTGACCCTGCAGTCGGGCCCGGCCTGTGACTCCTTTCCCGCATGTCGTTCCCCACTCTCTCTCTCTCTCTGTCTCTCTCTCCCCGATTTCCAACTCTATCCACTGTCCTATCTTTAAAATAAAAAAAATAAATAAAATAACCTGAACAATTTTTTGTGTCGATAACTTCTGTCTTTGCTTTACGATTATTATATCTTAAAAAGGGCCATGGGTTAAGAGGATTAGGTATCTACTTATTTGTGTTTTTATATGTACCAGGGTCACTAGTGGGTTTGTTTTTCCTTCAGTTTTTCCGCTTGTAAGGTTTGCTTTTTCTCCCTTTTAAGCATAAAGCCTGATTCTGCTCCAACCCAGTCCTGGTATAGGATGAATACCTTCTTTCAACAGAAACCCACACACGGTGTAAAAAGCATTGTCAAGCTTCAAGAACCTCAAAAATAATCAAGAAATACATATCAATTGAGATCATGAGATGTTGCAGATTATTTCACAGACTTCATTATTTTTGACAGAGAATAAACCACTTTTTCTCAGTTGTTGTTCTGCATTAATAACAAGTCACAGCTACGTTTCATGACGTCTCATGATACTGTAAGAAAGGCCATTGCTATAAAGCTACATTATACGCAAATTACATCAGTACTGACCAATGCAGAGCAATGACAACCTCATGATGGGTTTATGGGAAACATGACATAGAAAAGTAAAGCCACTGACCAGAAACACAAAGTTCCTTCTTATTCTTATTCTTAAATTACCCCAATTTGTTTTTTTAAATAACCAACATTAATTACATAAAACTGATTTGCATAAATGATAATATTGTCATTATTTTCAACCAAAGTCCTGTCAGTTTTCTCAGCTCTGCCTCCTCCTAAGAAAAGAGACATAGACAAGAGTCATACTTATTAAAGTAATGAGAAATGTTTTTTATACCAAACAAACAATGTTGGCACGACTTGTCAAGAGATGAAGGCACACATTCTGTACTGTACTGTACATTCCTACAATACAAAGACGGAGGCAGAGAAAACACTTAGAAAACAAAAATACCACACACTTATTTAAGCATCTTCAACATCATGACTATAGTTAGCAGCTTACAAATACACCTAAATACACAACTTGTGTTTTTTTTTCACATTCTTGAGTAAATACTTTCATGAAGTCTGAACATTCAGAGTTGTTTGTGAGAATAATTAAACACAGTCATTTTTTTTTTTTTCTTCTTCTGTGGTTGCAGTTGCTTCTCCACTTAATATATACTGAATCTTTAATTTTCTTCCGTACAAAGTTCAGTGAATCTCTATGGACATTTCATCATTTTCTTAACCAATATAAATGCTGTTACAAAAAAAATATACTGTATATGATTTTTTTTTTTTATGTTTTGGTGTTTCCTTGGAGAAGTGGGGAAACAAAATCCAAGACACTTATGGTAAGAGGTGATGCTAACACTCATGAGCACATGCATGTTTTCACATCCTTATTAGTGATCATGTTCTTGTTTTGCTGTATGATAAGTCAAAAGGGACCACTTAAGACCACTTAAGACTTGAAGTCCACACAAGCAGGGAGAAGATGCCACACAAGAAAATTGAATGTAGGAAGAAACTACAGAAACAACAAAGACTACAACAACAACAACAAGCTGACTGCACTTCACTGTTTAGCTTTGTTTAGCTTTTTTCTTTGAGTTAAAAATGGAAAAATGAGCAACACTGACCGACTCCCCCCCCCATCACTCTCCAGCAGGCTGTTTATTGACCTGCTACAAATGTAAACTGGATTTTGCCTCTGGCTTAATGCTAGTTAGCAGGATACATGTTACTTTAAACAGTTACATAACAGAAAGCTAAACTCATTGCTTTTACTGACAAACATACAGCCAAACACAGTTCAATCTACAACTTTTCAATTGGCATCTCTCTGCAGCCACACGCATCACTGAAAAAAAAACATGCAGAGTTGCATCCTCTCTATAAGGTTCACAGTCAACACTGGCTCATTTAAAATGACGTAAGAATGAAATACGTGTTTTCTGATTATCTCTGCTATAGTCTCACAATAGAGTGCTTTAAAAAACAACAGATTTTCTGATTCATTTCACAATCTGTGGAACTGTATTAAAATTAAATCTCAATCAGAGCTTGTGGCTGGGAAAAAAAGAGCTACAGTATACTGTAATGCATTAATGCACTCTGGCCCTGTTTGGAAAAGGGGAAAAGCTGAATGTACAGACTGCTGTTGAGCTCATCATATAACATAAGCCTACTTCAGCTAGTATGTTGTTTATCACTGCAACAGAGTTTGAACAAATTATGAGGCAACAGGCCTGTGGGGACAGCCACACATCTCAACAAAAGGCTTTTGCTGTGGTTTCCAACTTGTCTTTTTTTTAATGTTAACCTCTACAGTTATAGACCATAATCCCAGGGTGGTCATGTTGCTGTGATGTCACGCTCAGTGTGGGAAGCTTCAATGTTTCTATAATGTCTTTGTGCTGTGTTTCACAGACGCATTTTCATTTCACAGCTTCCAAAAGGATTAGCAACAACACAGACAGTGGATGCTGAACATCTGTATGGACCCAGGGCCATCGTTTAAGTTAAAAAAAACAACCTATCTGATAACCATTTAGATGGCAAGAGAACACAGCTAACATGTGAATTCAGCAACTTCCTGGCTAAACATTTGAGAAGCATGGATAAGATATAAAAAGGATTTATTAAATCTGGATATTAAAGCTCACATTTATAGAAGCCAGGCGAGAAACTCTTAGGATGTATTATTATCTTACAACAAATGTAAACTGTGTAGCGCTCTCCAAGCTCCACTGTTATTACTGTGTAATTCAGTGTAGTACAACAATAGTGTCAAGTTTATTTTAATGTTTGTACAAGCACATTGACTGTTTTATTAGCTGTCTTCTGATGTAGTACTTACATAGATTTTACTGATTTTAGCTGTGTTGGATGAGAACATGGCCGCTGTGTGATCATGGTCTGTATAGTTGAATAAGAAGAGAGACTGTACTTTTAAAGTCTGTTCATGCTGGAGGTGTAAAGTGGCTTTGTGAGCGTTTACCAAAGCAACCGGCTAAAGCAAAAGCACTATTTCATCAAATTTGCAAAAATCAAGCTTCAGTTTGCAGCCACCAGATCATTTCCTCTCCTGTTGATCTTAATTCTTTTTCAAATTCAAAACAAACATAGTTGTTGCCAATGCACAAGGATGAAGGGTTCCCGAAGGAGTCAGAAATCTATCCAGAATATACAAGCAACTATCCTCCAGACACTGCTGTCGTTTTCAATTTGCATGTTAACACTGCTTGCAAAAAAAAATAATTTGCATGCCCAAGATCTACCGAGGCACTCGCAGCATAAATCACCAAAATACTTTTTATATTAAATCGTTGCGTCTGTACTATCGAATGTATTATGGTGAGGAAAATTACAAATTGTACATTTTAAATACATTTGTATTTCACTCTGTATTCCTCATAAAAATATAAAATGACAAAGTGACTTTTGACGAAAACTGCTAAAACATTTGCTCTCAGTCCCCCGGGGCCACTGCCCACTAATCCTGCTCAGTAATCCATCCGTGACTCTTCTCCATGTGGTCATTCTGTGCATGTCAAAGCAGCCACACACCTGATTACTACGCACCTAAATCTAAATTAAGCACACATGACATGCACTGTTTGTATGTACACAGGATTATGCATGAGAATACATTTCATATATGCATGAGTGAAAGTCAATGGGGTCGCCCTTCAGGAGAACTCTTCTGATTGAGCGCTTGGAGCCTCTCCGTTTTGCATTTTTGCGCTGCTGCCGTTGCTCCCGGTGATCTCGCTGTGGCGAGACGTGACGTAACTTATCTTCCTGGATGACTGAGAGTGCTTCCTGGAAGAGCCGCCATCAGCACTGCCATTACCCTCGACGGGATCGTAAACCACCATCACGGTGGTATCCATCCGCGACAGTGTATACATGCTGCTCTGGCGTGTCGGGTGCAGCCGCGTGGAGCGAAGTTCCAACTCGTCATGGCTGGACACCTTGATGAACGGGCACCAACGGAACGCTCGCTTGAAGCCCGCACGAAACCTGTTGTCACGCGGAGAAGGAGAGGGGAAGAGAGAGACAAAGGGCAGAGCAGGACAATGATAAGTGGAGAATAACTACAAAGAAATAGGGCTGGGTATTTCCCACAACCCCTCAATACATTATGCATCACGATACAGAGACCATGATATGTTACATATGGGGATAAACATTGGTTTTAGATGACCATGTCCTCCACAGAATTCCACAGAAGGATGCGGGCCCCATGTATGAAGGCCATATCTTCCAAGCGGGTGGCCCAGGATCGAATCTAGCCTGTGGCTCTTTTCCTGCATGTCATTCTCCACTCTCTCTCCCTGATTTCCAACTCTATCCACTGTCCTATCCTAAAAGTTTTAATCCCAGAACTCTGGCTATGGTGTTATTGTGAACTGCCTCATGGGGCAATTGTCTTTAAAAACTGTCATCTTTGCAGCCATATCCATTCTGTAACATCTGCATCGATACATGTATTTGCAAGAAGCACATATATATTGCTATGTCCTTTTATAATCTTGAATTTTCTGTTAAATGCTTCACCTTTTCTGTTCCAAGAATCAGAACCTCTCTGTAATGTTCCTTCACAAAGGAGCTCTTTAGGTGAGAAGTGTGTTCAGGTCGTCCTTGAAGCTTTTTCACAACTACATTACGAAATCCAGTGTTTTCACAGCGATTAAACACACGTCTGTTGGAGTTGAAGTGCAATAATTATGTACCATTAAACACCAGAGTAGAATATTTTGCAGGATATATAGTTTCCTGGCTTGTGTCTGTCTGGCTGACTGCATTAAAGGCTGCATTCAATGAAACGCCAAACCACTAGACACAAGCAATATTTATTTTATAATTAATCAAATCCATTTTCACTGGTGGAACAGACCAAAACATCAAATAATCAAATAATCAAATAAAAAATTGAATTAACAGTGCGCTGGCGGCATAGTGGTTAGTGCGCACGCCTCATGTATGGAGGCTCTGGTCCTCCAAGCAGGGGGCCTAGGTTCGAATCCGGCCTGTGGCTCCTTTCCCGCATGTCATTCCCCACTCTGTCCTCCTGATTTCCAACTCTTTCCACTGTCCTATCTCTCCAATAAAGGCAGTAAATGCCAAAAAAAAAAAATGGAATTAACATGATAAAACATGCAAATAAGATCAATAAACTTATCAGTTTTTCCTCTGAAATTTAATTTAATTGAACTTTTGTTTATCTCTAATTGGATTAAAACCCCACTGATGATCTGACCGGCTTTGATATGCCCGACTCTATCTCTTTTTCACATGAGGGGATAATGACAAGCGCGTCATAGAGCCAGTTATTAATGATTCCATTCATTTTTTTATCATCCAGTGTAAAGCATAATGGTTCTTAGACTCGCTGATGTAATGTGATGTGATAATGCAATAGCTGCCTCATTACGTACCAGTGTCAAAGCAAAGATACTTTCTGGCAACTATTAGTTGTTAAGATGATCAGCGGCGGCCTGATGGCACCCACCTGCTGTTGAGGCAGCAGTAGATGATGGGGTTGTACATGGTGGAGCTCATGGCCAGCCACAGCACTGACAGGTAAACCTGCTGGATGTACTTCCACTTGCTCAGACCCGTCACGATGAAGTAAACGTGATAAGGCAGCCAGCAGAGGGCAAAGGTCACCACCACGATGATCATCATCTTCACCACCTGCAGCAGAGAGAGTCAATCATGATACAGTTATGAAGCTGTCAGAGAAGGACAGCTGTTTAATTCAGCAGGGAATTACAGAGAAAGGAAACAATGTGACTACCAACCCGTCATCACTCCCCGTGAAACTGATTAATATTTATGTGGAGGAATGTGGTGTGTATAATTTCTGTCCTTTTCTTCATTATATCATTTTGCAAACACCTGGTGCCTCAGACAGAGGATAGGGGACAGATCACAAATGCATTCCCAACAATTTCAGATTTCATGGCTGGAGGCTGTGCATGACATAAAAATGATACTGCAGAAGCCATATTACACCATCACCCTCGATACATATAACACCATCACCCTTGATATATATAACACCATCACCCTTGATATATATAACACCATCACCCTCGATACATATAACACCATCACCCTTGATATATATATAACACCATCACCCTTGATACATATTACACCATCACCCTCGACTGGATCTTAAAGTGCAGCTCATAAAAAGCATACTGCAGAAGCCATATTATAATGTTTACAACGAATCCAAGATTGTGGTCGAATGAAAATAGTTAAATGATAAGATGACAGTTTTTGGTTTTATATATATATATATATATATATATATATATATGCTACGTGTAGGTATGTAATCACAAAACAGCGAAAATGTACATGCTGGAGGCAGAATAGAGTAAGGCCTGGTTTATCTTTGGCTTCAAATCTACATAATAGAAGCCTATGCTGTCATGAGCACAACCCGTTTTGCTCTTTGGTTATATAATATAAACATGAAAACCTTGCTTATCGGCTGAGTTCACACTCTGTTCACCGTCACTTTTGGCTGACAATTTACTTGGGGGGGGGCTGGTAGAAATGTATTTTGACAATGTGGTTAAACATTTTCTGGGGTGCAGTGCATGTGTAAAAGAGCCTTATCTAGTTCCTCTGATCTTATAAAATGTGCTCCCATCCTCTAAAGTTTCTTTCAGGCGTATTTTCTATGTATGCTGAAAAAGCTTTGGAAGTTCAGTTCCACTAAAACAAAGTCTAAATTCAAGTAAAACATATTGTATCAGGATGAGTCTTATCTTCTCTCAAAGATTCCCTTGATAAGCACAAACAGGAAGAACATGGGAGAAAACAAAGAAATACAAAGAGAAATGAAAAAGAAAAAGAACATTGCAAGAAAATAATTGAACATTAGATGCAATTTTTTACAATCTCAGATAATAGACAATGTCTAATACATGTGTATTACTTTAATAAGAAGGAGCATGAAACATAAAAGCATGTTTGTGTCTCCAATTTCCTCAGACTGTACTATAAAGTGGAGCTGGTCAGAACACAGAAGGGGGTTATAGCTAGTACAGTGGACAACAGATGATTTTAAGATTAGTTATGCATTTCAGTTGATATCAGAAAATGTCCTCTTGTATCAAGCGGGAACCATCTCAGAGGTCAAATCATTGTGTGATTGTGCCTACAAAAAGAAAGTCCAAGGAGAAAGATGCTGCAGAGTCAGTTGTGTTTGACATTGAGAGAAAGAAGATTGTTCTTTGAAGCATATTGATAAACAATGACAGAATAGATCAGTGTGTGCTGGGGGGGGGGGGGGTAACAAACTTATGAGCCAAAACACCAGAGAGTTTAGAATCCGACTCTGTCTTATACCAGGCAAGTTTAGAATTTAATGACGGATAACCGTGTTAAATTAAAATGACTTTAACACGTGGTCTGTAGCGACTTTATTTCTGGAAAGTCTCATTAATTCAATAGTTCAATCTCTCGGTGCATGTTTGAGAGTGAACTGACTGAACTGCTGAGGATTTCCTCTGGGAACACAGTCCATAATGCTGTGTGTGTGTCTTCTCAGGGAACAGGCCGGAGAGACATGCAAACAGAGACAAAACAGACATGGAGTCCTTTTCCTAAAATCCAAACACAGGTCCTGGCATCCTTTGTGTTAAGTCCATGTTTCAAATAAGTTTACCGTACATCCCAGGCCGTGCTGTAAACTTAGCTAGGTGGCTGCAAAACAATGGTGTGGATATAACTTTCCCTGATACCACTGTGAGCTGAAATAAAGGCTGTAATTCTCCCAGGAAGATACACCTCAGACTGAAAAAGGATGTGACAGAACTCATTTAAGATGTAAATACCAGAGAAGTTTTCCTAAGTACTGTGTAAATGTTTCCTTGAATGTGGCTAGCTCTGTTGTCAGAGAGTCTTCAAACAGAGTATTACAGCAGTAAAAAGGGACAAGAGGGGAAGGTGAAGAGTCTAGTGTAGTGTATTTGCTTCTATATAAACACTCTTCAGACACATCTGGCTACAGTTCTGTACAAGTGCAACTGGAATTCAGCTGCTTTGTTTATATCTCAGGTTTCAGAGATTAAACAGCATGGTTGTGATATTTTTCACTTATAGCTCAAATACATGAAACCTAAATATTCTTTGAATGTTACAGCACTGCCTTTTGCTGTACTCTTGTCATTGTTATCAAGAAAATCTTCAAATCAATAGTTAGTCAGTCCATCTCTATAAAGTCTCTACGAAGAAGGCTTTGAGTCAGAGACTTTGGGTTTTGATTACAGAATTTGCTTTTTTTGACCAAGTTCATTTTCATGATATGATGATGCTTTCACTTGGAAATATCATCCATTTCAGTTCTCGTTTTTTATGCTGACGACACTCAGTTGTACATCTCTGTCTCACTTAATATCCCTGATGTTCCTCCATCTCTTATCGCCTGCCTCTCTGACATAAATGTATGAATGAGCAACACTAAATGAGGATAAAATAAATCCTCATGGCAGTGTGGCATCCAAAGCAGCCGGAGAAGAATCGCATACAACACTTACTGCCATTTTCCACATGCACTCTGTGTTATGTCAGCGCCACGGTTTTGCTCCGTCGGAACGATTCTGACGGTGAGCGCCCTGCTCCACTGGGTCAGTTTCTGGAACATGGGCGCAGCGGAGCACAGCCACGAGCAGCTGTGCACACATCACATGAGAACTACATGATCACGCTGCTCTAAAGAGAAAAACATGGAAACATGTTGCTTTGTCTTTGTCTTTCTGAGATTGATTTGCTGTAAATTCAGAGCCTGTTTTGACGTCATGTTGATAAAGTTCTGGAAAATACGATGGGGAGTCTTTATATTCTTTTTATTTTCAAACTGACTGGTCGCTCTGTGCGTGTCTGACTTCCTGTCCGGATGGATCTCTTCTGGCTAGCTTGACGTGTGCTTGCAGCGAGCTACATCGCAAATAGACTTGCAGCTTTTTTGAAACAGAGCAGAGCGCCGCTGGCAACGCTGTCGGAGACGGACCGTAAACTGCCTGCTGTGGAAACAGAAGCATTGACTGGAGTGGCAGCCAGCGGCAGTGTCGTGCGTGGTGGTGGTGAAAATTGGCAGTTATGAGGTCTTAACAAGCAGATTGAAACATAACAAACTTGGGAATTCTTCTGGATGCTGATTCAAGTTTGACCCTTATTTAAACAAAGTCATAAGTGCGTAATTTTTTTAATGTTATTAACATAAAGTACCAAAATTTTAACTTCTGCTGTTTTCACCAGCCGTAAACTCTTTACTGGATGGGACAAATAGTATTTTAATACATTACAGCTGCTTCCAGAGTCTTAACTAAAAAATAAAAAAAATAAAAATAAAAAAAATAAAAAAACAGCTTGAAGTCTGTATGTTTTTTTTCATCGGTCTATATTTGTATCACTGTTTTTACAATAAGGTTATCTCTAGTTCATTTTCTCATTAAATTTTGACTTATTTTCCTTTTTTCTATTGATCATACAAACATATTTTTATCATTTTTAATATATCCATTTCAGTTATTTACTTATTTCAGTCATTCTATCAGTATCTTATGATTGTATGTATTGTGGTCAGTTTCTGTTTTTTATTTCCTGTCTGTCGTTTCTGTGCCGTTTACTTTGGGCTGCATGCTCTGATGTACAGTTAAAGTGAGTTGAGTTGTTGAGGTTAGTGGACGATATTCTGGTATTAATACACATTTGTGTGCATATATTATGGCAGCAGGATGGTGTATGTGAGAGTGACTCCAAATGAACTTCCAGCTTTCTTAACAACATCGAAGGTCTTTGGTAAACAGGGGTAAGCCATTATGTATTGACTTGGATTACACAAAGAACAAAGTGTTTGACATCCATTTATAATCCTTGGTGTCCTGTTAGCACATATTTTAAAGGCTAAGCTGTCCCATTAATATAAAGGATGTCTTGTTTCTCAATAGGCTGGAAAGAGAAATAAACAAAAGGTGGAGAAACACACTAGTGTGCTCTCGGGTCTTGTTAAAACGGCCCATATTTGGACTGAGCTCAAAACAATCCATACATTTTATTGTGTGTTAACATAAAGATATATAAGGCTGGCTTCCTAAACATTTAAAGTATGTGTCTGCTTTATAACAGTCTCTAAATATCTTTTAGTTTGGCATATACTCTAAGAACATAAACATGTCACCCTTCACTAAAGATGTTGGTGCCTCAGACTAGTTATTAAATGTTATTGTGACTGTGTTATCAGCCAAACAATTCAACAATGAACCGTCAACAGGGACACAGCATTTCTTGAAGGGTGCTTTATTAAAAGAAGACCAAAAAAATTAGCGAAAGCTTAAAGGGATACTTCACCCGCTGAAACATGAATCTGTATTGACATTGGGTCATATATGTAGTAGAAATGTGAAATACATTTTGAAGTTGGTGCCTTCTTGGCCGAGAAAAGGCAGAAAGTGTCTTTTTGGCTCATGTGGATGAAAGACACCAAATCTCAGAATGCACAGCACCGCAGGCCACTCCCACCAAGGTCCTAGTTCAGAATCAGAAATACTTTATTAATTCCAAAAATCGTCATTTTGCATAACTGGAAGCTCCTTTTCAGACTTAGAAATACAAAGATTTCCCATCTCAGGGGAAAATGAGAGCGGGATGCACGACCATTCAAAAATACTACC